ATATTGAGAGTAATTGTGGTTGATGTCTCTAATGAGATAGTCTAGCCAATCGGGTCGTGATAGGACTCCGTGCTGAGAGTACGGTGGTACTAGTTTTGTGAATAATGGTTTTATGAATAATGGTATTGTGGACAATGGTGGATACTAAAAATCTCCGAATGTGAGATATGAAAATTAATTTGAATACTGTCTTGATCCTAAATTGAGGCTTGATGTTGATTAAGGCGTTCATTGATATTATGATAATCTTTTTTGTATTATTTGTCATTCTATTGAGAGGGTGTTTAGTTATACATACTAATGCTATTCGACATTACTAACGTACCTTTTGCCGGGGGCACTGCATCTTTAAATGGATGCAGGTGGTTCCACAGCAGGAGATATTGATCAGTGATAGCAGTACACCTTCTTCCCAGCTGACTTGGTGAGCCCCACTTCATCCTGGGGTCATGCATTTTTTGTTCTTTGTGTATTCTGTTTGAGGTATAGCCGGGGCCTTATTGCCGGCATTATCATTGTACTCTTCATTATTTATAGAGGCTCCGTAGACATAGTGTGGGTTGTGTATTGGTGCTGGAAAAGACAAAATATATTATGTTGTGATTGTATTACTTGTCCATTTGAGACTTTAAAAATGATGAATTATTAGAAATGAATTGGTAATGTTGACGTGAACACCTTTTTGTCTAATTCATGAAAATATGTATTATCTCCATTCGTGGATGAGTTTGGGTAGAAGAAAATCAAACATGCTTGCTCGATCGGGTTCACTCGGTTGAGCGCCGGTCGCGCTCCTCGGTTTTGGAGCGTGACATCTTCCTCTCAAATGCTTAATGACATATTCAATGACATATTTTGTAATAGTGATTCTTCACTTTTTATGCCTATCTAAAGGCCTTGTAATAAATATAAATATATATACACAATTGAAGAAGAAAATATATTCCTTCTCTCTATCTCTATTTCTTGTTCATGTTTTATTAAATTGCTTTATTTCATAACATAAATAATAATTTAGAATTATCTAGACATTGCTAGGTGCTTGGTTGGCTAAGACTTTGTTTTATCCATATTGTAGAATTACTTTGTATAATCTAAGGGAACACGTCTATAATGCTCTTTTTTTATTCTTCTAGAAGATCATGTTTAGAACTAGATATAGAGTTCTCTTTTTAGCTCCTATTACTTTGTACTTGCCATTTGCATCAAGAAAAGTTGAATATCTTCTCTCCCAAAACAAAGTGTTGTTTTCTTCCTCTTCTTCTCTTCTCCTGCATTCTTCCTATCTCCTCAAGTAGTCCCCTTTCTCTAACATAGTGGCATCAGAGCCATGCCAAACATTGGTCCACTTGCTTTCCATTCACTCGTCTGACAAAAGAAAACTATGAAAAGTGGTGTTTATGAATGTTACCCATAATTAGCATTCAAGATGTATGGGGGATTGCAGAAAATAGGTATGTAAAACCTTAAAAATGAGAAAGCTTATGAAAATGCTTTGGCAAAGACAAAGCAAAAAGATCAACAAACCATCACCACCAATGCTTGGATGATGTTATATTTGAGAATGTAACCGGTGTAACTACCTCATAGGAACCTCGGGAGATTTTTCAAAACTATATACAAGGAGAAGATAAAGTAAAGAAGGTAAAGCTTCAATCTCTAAGGGTTGATTTAGAAGCACTAAAGATGAAGAAATCCAAATCCATTTCGGATTATTGTTCAAGAGCAAAGGTGATTAAATCAATCACGGTGATATGGAGAATCTGGAGGATGTTCGTGTGGCGAAGAAGATCATTCGTTCTTTGACGGCTAGATTTCACTATGTCGTGCATGCGATTAAAGATTCTAAAGATTTAGACTATATGACCATTGAGCAACTGGAGGGTTCTTTACTAGCTTATGAAGACCATATTTAGAAGAGAAACTTGTCAAAACTATGACATCTTTGAAAGCTGATAGAGGTGATAAAAAGAACTATTGAGGGCAGGAAAGAGGAAGAGGACATATTGATAGTCGCAGTAAAAGAAGAGACCATGATTACTATCGTGAGAGAACTAAAAAGATGTATGACAAATCTCAAATTACGTGCTATAATTGTCATAAACTTGGACAATATTCTTGGTAATGTCCATGGGCGGATCTACATACTAAATTTGGGTGCTTCAGCACCCATTAACCTTACCACATGGCCTTTATTAGCTATATAGAAAATTTGAGGCGTTTGATATATTAAACCCGGAAGCACCAAGAGAACAAAAATGCTGATGGGTGATTTGGTCAAGCAAGGATAGTGGCTGCTTTAGTAGTGTAAGGGGGTGGGAGCTCGAAACTTACTACTTTCTTCCTTTACCCCATTAGGTATCCTTTTTAAATTTTTATCCGGTAGCTATATTTTTTATCCAATACTACTACTTTATTTATTTCCATTCCAGACTACTTTTTCCCTGAATTTTATTTTACCTTCTTCTTTTTTTATAAAGTTTTTCCTTTTGTATTTTACCTAGTAATTCTCTATAGCAAAGAAAGAAAGAAACTCCAAAGTTCGACCCTTCTAAAAACAAATAGTTCCTCTGGAGTGGCAAAATCCATAAAAATAAATTCTCGCCAGTTGCATTTTTCGTTACACGCATTTATAATACTAATATGAGTTTTTTATTAACTTTTTTGACCGTTATGTTCAAATAGTTATGCACTTATACTATGTGATTGATAGTAATTGTACGTCAAGAACAGTTAAGCACCCACAAACCCAAAATCCTGGATCCGCCACGGGGAATATTGTAGTAATGTTGAAAAAAAGTCAATCTTGTCGAGGACAAGAAAGAAGAAGAGGAGCCAACTATGTTGCTAGAACTCAAGGAGAAAGAGAAGGATGATGTAAATTCGTGGCATTCGGAAAATGAAGTTGCAAGTTGAACGAGGAAAATTCAAAAACTTCTTGATGAAAACGCAAACCTCAAAGAAGAAGAACTAAAGAGATTGATTCATAAATTGGAAGAGACAAGTAAAGAGAGAAACATTAGTATTATTGAAGAATTGTGAGCCAGCTGAAAGATGAGAAAGAAGCTCTACATCTAAAGTTGAATTCTCTGATAGCCGAATATCTCACATTAAAGGAACAAGCTGGAAAAGCCAAGACCAAGAAAGCTGTAACTGGTAAAGAGTCAAGCCATCAACCCCAATGAACTAGTATATCATCAAATAGCTCTAAGAACAATGTATAACAACAATGAAAGTGCAAAACTAATTTGTAGACAGATTAAGGGAGCAGCTTAGTACTAAAGGACACAGAGCCTATAACTTCAGTCATCTTCCCATTTGGAGGAAAAATACTTGCTCAATGAAACACATAGAACCTCCAAGAAGGGGCTCCAGAGTGTGATGGCACATCTTGAAGAAAAAACGAAAGACCTCAATTATGAGCAGACTAATCATGATCAAGTTATAGAGCTTTCTAGGCATTTCTAGACTCAATTATGGACGGTTTGGGTAGCTAACTGAAAAGTGGATCATTTTTTATCAGAGCTTTAAAACCAGGAACCATCTTCAAAATCCACAAGTACAGGTAGTAAGAAGTAGCGGAAGCAGAGGTGGATCTAAGATTTACAAGTTTTGAGTGTCAAACTAATTTTAATGTACACGTGTTGTATTTACATGGTCCAAATAAGATATTTATTGGTTCAGTCTGATATATTTTTTATTTCGGATCGGTTATTCATCTTATCGAGTTTATATATAGACAAATCAATCAAAAGAAAAAATAATAATAATGAAGTTGTTCTCCTAAAAAAAAATATTTTTTTTACTATCTATTGATACATGATAACAGTAGATACGAAGAAAAAATAGTGTGAAGTTGAAATAGAGTTGTATAAGACTTTTATGTATTTTGATAGCATAAATTAAGAAGAATTATTCTTGATAAATGATTCTATAAGATGAGAAAGAGAAGGTTTTTTGAAGGAAGAAACTTTTATAACTTATAGAAGAAGAAAGAAAAAGTTACCAAGAATTAATAAAAGATAAAAGCATAGAAGAATCAATTAAATGTAAATATCCATTAGATAGTAAAGAAAAAGACAGAAAAAACAGTGTGGTCTCCAATTAAATGCATGAGATGGAAAAAATATTAATGTGTTTAAGGACGGTATCGAACTCCGGTCGCTTGGAAGACAAACCAGAACCTTTTCCAGCAACATCCAACGCCATTTTGTTGAGTTGGGTGTCACTTAATTCTATTTGGTAACATTGTCTGTATGTATACATATATTTACAAAATTTCGACCGAGGTTTGCGGATGGCATGCCACCCCCTTCCTCCTTAATAGATCCGCCCCTGAGCGAAAGAGTAGGAGGAAAAACGGAGTTCTTACCATGAATGGCTTGATCCGAAATTTCCAGCAGATCCTTGGTTGGCTCTGAAATGAGCCTTGACAAACAAGTTCTAGAAAAAAAGTGTAGAGTCAGTTGCAATGAGCTTCTTCTAAGAAAACTCGAAAGAGCCATCAAACCAAAAAAAAAAATGAACATTGAATTTCATTGAAAAACCAATTCAGCTGAAGGTCACTTATAAAATTACACGAGACAATCATATAAATGTTGAAGAATTTAAGAGAATTCAGTAAATTTTTCAAGGAAGAATTGTGAAATTCACATAAACTTTATTATAGTGGCAGCCAACAACTGAAGAACATCTCTCTTAACAAAAACAAAAAGGGCAGCTCGGTGCACGAAACATCCCTCGTTTACGCAGGGTTCGGGAAAGGGCCGCACAACAAGGGAGTGTAACGTAGACAGCTTACCCTGAGCAGTGGCTGATTCCATGGCTTGAACCCATGACCTATAGGTCACACGGACACAACTTTACCATTGCTCCAAGCTCCCTTCAAGAACATCTCTCTTAATTATGTGAAATTTGCAAAGGGTAATTATTAGCACTTTCAGATAGCTCACTTGCACAATAGCTAGATTGGTAGTAAAAGATGCTCCATAAAATAGCCAGAGTATTTCAAAGATTTTACTAAATGGAAGTATCAAAACCTAACAGTTCTTTGAGGTACACAAATTCTATAAATTGAAATAATAGAATAAAAAATTAAACTGAAAAAGGACCTGCATTCTTGCGGAGTAAATCCCCTACCATTCTTATGTATTCTTTTTCTATCTTTCGTCACCAGAAAAGAGATACAGAATTTGAGGACAAGATCAAGCTTCTATCTGTTTATGAGCATTTCGTACATAACACTGCCACCAGCTTCATCTTTATACACCAAATTAAACCCCCACTGTTTTCCACGATGGCGGAAGTCCCCTGGTCTCAAACAGGCTTCAAATATCCCATAGTCATTTGGGTTATTTGCCTGTAAATTTGATCTGTGACAGAGACTGTTTAATGGCAAAAATGCAAAGCACATATTAGGGACAGCAGTAGCACGACGTAACACATTCATGGAAAATGAACAGACTTTCTTGAGCTCTTCAGTCAGCATTCCTTTATGTCGGGGAGTTAGTTTTGCTGTAATCTCAATGGTATCTCTCTCATAAAAGTCAAAACTCGGTTCCTCATACTCTTTCCAATAACTGGAATCATAATTGTAATGATGCATGCTCCCCTCAAATTCAATATCGTAACTACGTGCGGAATGATAAAAGCAGCAGGCGCAGCATATAGCGAAACCCAAGAAATTTTCAGTGTACCAATGTTCAGGAAGATTGACTGACATCTTTGCGGCACTTCTATCTTGCCATCTAAACCATTCTGGAATTCGTGTTCCATGTATAACAATCTTAAGAATTTCCTGCAAACCAGAAGAGATAGATATATCATTCCATGTGACATAGTTATTAGCACATATCTAATGTTTCTGCTGCCTTTTTTTCTTTTTCGTTTCATAAAACATAAGCTTTAGAGAGAGACCTCACGCTTAGCCGTCGAAAGATATGAAAAGGGAATAAGCTGCAACATATCATCCATTTGTTGCTTCTGACTGTTCTCCAGCAGTTCTGACACATCTGACCATATTGAGTCTAACCATCGATAGAAATTTTGGTACTCAATATTTGTGACTGCTATTAAATTCAACTCCTTGCATTTAATTACTAAATCTTCCATGCTTCTCAAGGCCAAGTGTTCATCTACATATAGCTCCTTGATGCTTGGGGGAAGCTCCGGCAATGCTTCAAGCCTCTGGCAAAATGTTATGTCAAGGTATTCAAGGCAAAAAAGTTGATTCATCGTTTCAGGCAAATTACAAAAACCATTTCCACTAAGATTTAACTTCACCACAGAGCCTAAGCTTCCAAGACTTCCAAAAACATCATCAGGTAAATTGAGCATTGATGATGAATATTGGACTTTTGGTCCAATCACAAACTTTTTCCTGAATGATAAGACCTCAAGTTTATTTAAACGTGCAACCGAAGATGGTAGTCTTAAAATACCAGTACCATCTGCAAGTAATTCCTCCAAATGTTCCAAGTGACCCAAATTTTCTGGTAAATACTCCAGTCCCGAGCAGTAAGAGATGCGCAGAATCCTTAAACTTTTCAACATCCAAATGTTGTGGGGGAGACTGCTAATAGAACTACACCAACTCATATCAATAATCCTAAGCAAGTCAAGATGTTCATAAATTGTGGGCTGCTCCAATGTCAGAAGGAGCTGAAGTCCATGTCCTGCCAAATGATTTATGGCATTTGGAATTTCGGGCAAGTTTTTAAGTTTTCTGCAGTCTAACAGCTTTAGATTTGTAAGACTTGTCAATCTCCATATGCTGCTCGAGAGACTCGAAATAGTTTTGCAATTACAGATTTCAAGGAAATTTAGTGAGGTGAGGTTTCCTATAGAGGTGGGAAGCTCCTTAATAGAAACTAATTTTAAGATGATTTCACGAGTACAATTGCTATTCCTGTGAATTTCTGGTAAACTCCCCAGTTTCTCACATTCACTAATCTTTAGATTTCTGAATCTCCAAATACTACTTGGGAGACGTACAAGTTGGTTGCAGGAATGCAATTGTAGGTTTTCTAGGGAACTGAGATGCTCAATTGATGCCGGCAGTTCTCTTATCCCAGTTGAACTGAGGTCGAGTTTCTTCAAGTGCTTTATGTTCCTTTCCACCTCCGGGAACCTTTTCAAATTAAAGCAATAATTGAGATCAAGAACTTCAAGACATTCTGATTGAATAATTTCCGGAAGTCTCTCAAGTGATGTGCAATGATCCATATTTAACAAAATAAGCTTCTTGAGAAACCCAACAGATGGATGGACTTCCACCAATGCATCACAAAAGCTCAGGATCAACCTTTCCAATTTTGCGATCATCTTAAAATCTGGGGTTTGTATCAATTTGTAGCAATAACTGAGATCAAGAGTTGTCAAAAGGGCTAACCTCTGTACCATAGAAGAAAGAAAATTGTTAAGCACACGTTTTCACAATGTATGCATTTATGTCCATTAAATTTGCAACTGTCTATCTGTTAAGTATCTGACTAAGTGGAAAAAGAGATAAATTATCAAAGACGAGAGATCAGAAATGGAAAAAAAAATTAAAAGGGGGAGATTGGCACATATATGTTAGAGTTTTTCCCTGAATTTCTAATCTATTAGAAATCTCTTTCTTGAATGAAGGGAAAAGACTCTTAAAAAGGAATAAATCTCCTTCAAAACTTATCTTTTTCTTGGAGGAAAAGTCTTGGACATCTATAAATTGAGGAATCCTGCTTCTCACAACAACAATAACAATATCCACAATGTAGTCATTAAAGAGTCTTGTTTAGGGGGAGATTTTTCTCTCAATAGTTTTTATATTTTTATACTAGTTTTTATATGTAGGTCAATTGACCAAACCCTATTATAGTATTATATTTTAGTATAATTCTTTTGTCTCTGATTTATCGTCCACCAAGCTCTGTATTGTTAGCTTCAGCATGCACCATGTTATTTCGATCCCATCAATATAATCCATTCATTCAGAAATTCTCCCTTTATTTGTTCTAATACGACAAGTAGATGAATGGTTCCTTTTGTCTGTCACTTATTTCAAGCACCTCATCTGATACAACAATTCTTCGATATTCTAAAGATGTGAAGCTTTAGAACTAGTATTCAAAGAAAAGGAACACTCCAAACCATCCAGCTATAAGTTTACTGCATGACTAAAGGAGCATATGTCTCTGTATTTTTTCCTTATATTCTTTATAAGGTAAATATTTTACTGATGATAGTAAAAGAAAGCATACACAAGATATTTATCACTGAAACATATAAGAGAAGAAGCCTCTCCAAAGAGCATCCGATCCTCTGTAAAAGTTGGAATTCTATATGTGCCCGTAACAAGAACTTAAAACCAAAAGCTTGAGTACAGATGAGCACTGTTCAATTATAAGATACAATCATTTTCTAACTTTATGATCAGAAACCTTGCATTACCTCCAAATCTTTGAGCATCAAAAACATTTTCTTCCGACTTAAGATCTTCTGGTGACCCACAGTTGACTAGCCTGAAAAGCCAAACTAACTATTTTTCATCTTACTAATCAATTAGCCCAACAAAAGGTTATTCCATTTTCTCTCTAGATGCCAAATTATTTATTCCAATTTTCTAAATTAAAATAGACTTGATATAACTTCAATAGAAGTAAAATCAACATTATTAGATAAAAATGCAGTAACTATTCATCACTAAAAGATAATAACTTTGAATTTCTCTGAGCAGATGTTCCGTCTGCATCCATACGTGATTTCATGAAGTTTTGCAGTCAAATATTAATTAAGTGATTGTTCTAATTTTAGCTGTAAGTCTACTGGTAAGAGACGTCACAATTTGAAACTTCTTTCAGGATTCATGCAGTCAGTTTTTGGTGCATTTTTATGCTAGAGAATTAAAATTGCAGGCCAGATCAAGAACAATACTTTGAACACCAGCTATTTCAAAAGCTCTGCATTAGTTTCAATCTTACCAAAGCACATATTGTATAGCATGTAGACAGTGAGGACTGAAATTTGAAATCGAAGGAAGCAACACGATGGTGGCAACCGTACCTTTGCTCCATTCCAGAGTTCGATGATAGAACTACTCTTCATAGTAAGATATATGAGCTTTGATGGTTCAAAATTCGATGGCAATGAGTCTGCAGAATAGTCACGCCATTCAAGCCAAAGCAGACTGTTAGGAAGATAGGCAACAGGCTCATCAAACCCCCTGTTGTAATATTGTTTCACAAGTATCCTCAGCCTCCTCATCTTTTTGAGAGCTTCAGCGCTGTACATATATTCCAACTCACTCTCTTCAAACTGTTCAGGCTCTGTGAGTAACAAGCCTTCAATTGCTTCTTTCCCCTGCAGACAAATAAAAAAATATCCTTATAGAAAAAAAACTATACGAAGCACATATAAGTATGCTGCATATACTTATTTTTTTCAGTATATACATAGAGACTGACATAATTCTGGGAAATGCATGTATGACCATCTTCGGAGTGAGTGTGGCAGTTACATGAAATGTGGTAAGATATTTATGTAAGTAAGGCATTTATCTGTTTCCAATCCCCTCCCTGTGACTATAAACCATTCCAATTCAATCATCATATACCTCTTACGCTGCATATAGTCCATCTCAAATGAGATTTGTTTTTCTCCTCTCCTCTCTAAACGGGAGTGGAATTTAGGCCATATTTAATGAAAAAAATGTCAAAGATAACGAAACAATCAATACCCTAATAAGAAGGCTTGTTTCTTCCACCCTATAAAAGCTACTGAGGTTCCATCCCAGTTGTTCACTATGAAACTGGGAGTTCCAGAGGGATCACTAATAATGAACTGACAGATTTCATCCAGAGGCGTGGAAGAGGCGGCAAATGTTGATTCAGAACACTTTAAAGGTTTACCAGGGCTCACGACTTCCCTTGTTCTAGGATTAAGTAAAAAGTCTAGCATAACATTTTTGTTTCAAAAATTGGATCCACTAGAATATGCATACAGAAAATATTATGAGCAAAAGTTATTGATTCCTGACCTGACCCTCTATTGTCTGTTAGGGGAGATTGATTGGACTTTATACCATACCTTACTTAGTCTTCCCTTGCAACCGGATTCTTCAGAGTTTAAATAGAAGTACCCCTTCTAGGAATAACTGGCACTGCTTGGCTTATCTAGTAGATTGTTTTAAAATTTCAAGTGCCGAAATGCTAATTTGTTCGACGAAGTATCTAAAGAGACATATATCATGTTCTACTCTTTTTTTCTTTTCTACTTCCTGTTTTTCATCCGAATAAACTTACTTCCTCTGTTCTGTTTTATACAGACACTCTCCTTTTCAGTCCATTAAAAAAGAATGATACATTTCTATATTTGGAAACTCTTTAATTATAGATATATCATTTTATCCTTAATGACATGCTCTTCCAGCCATAGAAATGTCATGGCATGTTTAAACCCACAAATTTAAGGTGCTTTTGATATGTGCCAAAAGTCTTTATTTCTTTCTTTCCTAAAATTTGTTTCCAGTCAAACAATGCCATATAAAATAAAACGGAGTAGAAGTTTACCAAAAGCTTGAACTATGGAGAAACACTCTATGGTATAACGGGTTTACGATAAGGAGAAGTAAGATTGGATATATGCATTGCAGGTTTAGCCGCAAGAGTGAGATTAGGCTTGATGTTCCTAGAGAATGGTATGATAGATGAAAAGCAGTATACATAGAATCAAAGAACGATGGTTGAAATAGTGGAATACTAAAGGATTATTATGTGAGAGGAAGGATCCCTACTAAAGTGAAAGGCAAGTATAACTATTTTGCTACATTTCCTTTTTAGGTCCAATATCTACTGGGAGTCCTTAGTCTTATTAGAGATTTGTATCCCAGTACAAAAAAATAGAGAACCCAAACTTTTAATATAGGATTAAGACGAGTCTAAATGGCGCAACATGGATAGTGAGGTTGGCTGACCCCATAGCTTGGGATTGCGGCTTAGTTTTTATTATTGTTAAGAAGTTGAGCACATTGTAAAAGTGCTTTCTATGTCTAATGTACTCTATAAATACCTGTTTTAAAACAAAACAAGAAAAAGGTTAATTTACTATCTCATGCTTTCTTTCAAGACTACACATATATCATTTCCACATTCTTTTTATGAAGATGAACATTGCTCACATAATAGCCATTTGTGACTAGACATCTTACCATATCTCCTATGCATGCATCCTTAACATCCTCTGGACGATATATTCTTCTCATAGGTAATTCTTGAACTGCGATTTGTCTACCCATCTCTTGCATCAAATCATGCATTTGGATTTTGTCCTCTAAAATAAAAATGAGAGATTTTTCAACAAGGGTCTTTACTCCTAGAACTGGGTGGAAACCAGAAGCGTGAAATAATGCTGTCATATCTCTTTGGTTGTAACCCCTGAAGAAACATGCAATATCTAAAAATATACTTTTTTCGTAATATCTTAATCCATCAAAACTTATTTTAAGTGTAGCCATAATTTCACCCTCAGGGGTATCTTTTAGTCTATCAATTGTACTTATCCATACATCAAGATCTTCCTTGTACAGCAGAGAACCAAGCACCTTAAGAGCTAGAGGAAGGCCTCCAGTATAATCTACCACAAGATTTAAGAGCTCCTCAAACTCCTTTTCAGGTGACTTTCTCTTGAATGCGTGCAAATTGAAAAGCTCAATTGCTTCATCTCTTTCCAAAACCTTTACCTCGTAAGTTTCATGCACATCATGGTTTTTCAACAGTTTCATATCCCTAGTTGTGATAACAATTCTACTACCACTACCAAACCAATCTTCAGCTCCAACCAGCTTATCCAGCTGGTTGCTATGATTAACATCATCAAGAACAACCAGAACTTTCTTAGAACAAAGTCTCCTCTTTAATATTGCACACATTTCTTCAGTATCAGTACAATCTACAAATTCTACCTTCAACAGTTTGGAAAGGAGAGTCTTCTGCAAATACAACAAGGTATGGTGTTGTAGATATTCTTTAACATCTTCGAGTAAACAAGCACCTTCAAAATTCTGATAGTATCTGTTGAACAATGCTCTTGCAGCAGTTGTCTTTCCTACACCACCCATCCCCCAAATCCCAACAAGACGAACTCCTTTCAGGTCCATCCTCAACAATGAATTTAGTTTCTTAATTTGAGATTCTATTCCAACTAAATCTCTGTTAGTTATTGAGATGGAGAAACAAAATTTATCAAATATGTCTCTCACAATCTGTTGTATGCATTTTGATTCATCCCTGTATGCCAATAGAAACTAAATCTTTAAATTGAGTGCTATTTCATACTGAAAAGGTATGCATTGAAGAAAGGAAAAAATGAGTAAATTTTCTGAAACCACTAAGGGGAGTTGAAACTTCAGTTCCCCATAACTGGATTTAACAATTTTAATCATGCTATGGGAATGAACCTTCTAAAAGAATAGGTCCATGGTACTCAGGGGTAAAATTGGCTTTTAGTATAATCATTAAAATATCTGCCTTCTCAGTTAATTTCTCTAGCAGACTCTAGATTTTTACATGAATGTTCCCATAATAAGAAAGTATGTTACCAAAATCAAGAAGTTGTCAATATACAATGAGAATGTCAGAACTTTGAAAAACTCTTGTAACCCTACCTTTTTTCCCTTTTTTTTTTCTCTTTATAAAATTTTTCTTAGAACTTAGTAAGCTGCAGAAGATTTTATCTAAAGTTTGCTCTGACCAGGGATTACAAAAACAACCATGCACTTATTATCCTATGTACTATTGCTAATATTATAGTATAACTTTTTGGAATAAAATGGAAATAAGAATTTAGAACAAAAATCACCACTGACCCATTGTAAGTGTTGCGCAAATCATGCCCTGATATGTTAGCTACCTTAGTAAGTGCCTCCCTCCACCTTATCACTTTGTCCTTGTCATCAACCAATTCAGCCTCAAATTTAGTAAAAAACACAGCATACTCCCCATTTTGTTTCCTCACAGTTGATGGATCCACATCATAGAAAACTGGGACAACAATTAGCTCAAATTTTTCATGGATTTCAAGAATCTTTACCAGTTCTTCCAAGCACCATGTAGAGGAAGCATAGTTCTTGGAAAAGACAACAACAGCAAATTTTGATTCTCCAATGGCTTTCATGAGTTCAGATGAGATTGACCTCCCTCTCTTTAACTCCTTATCATCCATGAATGTGTGAATACCCTTTTCAATAAGAGCATTAAAAAGATGACCCACAAATGTTTTTCTAGTGTCTTCTCCCCTAAAGCTTAGGAAAACCTCATAACTGCGTCCATAATTGGAAGATGAAGAGCTACTTGAACAAGTCAACATGGGTATATCTCAAATTCAGAAATTGATGGAAATGAACAAAATTTAGGGGAGAAAAAAGACCACTTCAAGAATATTTGAGAGTTGAAACACCAACAATGTCTTCTACTGAAAAGTCAGAACTTTGGTTTGAAAAATCTATTCTTGGCTTTTTTTTTTTTGGCCATAACGTATGCTGGACTATACTATTCGAGGTAGTTGAAACTGTAGAGGAAAAATGTTGTCCTAAGCTTGGAGCCTTCACTTAAAATGTCCCTAGTATATAAGGTGTAATATTTTTCCCAGCATATAAGGAGTGGAGTATTATATAAAGTGATAATAGCTGAGGCGGGGCATATATCAGGTAAAATTGATAGGTTATTATTGGATTATTAGTATTAGGTTATTGGGTAAATAGTTTGGTTACGGTTTAATATTATTTGATCATTGGGTTATCGGTTCGGAATCAATTTACTCAACTTATTAACAAATTAACCGATAACCCAATAAATTTTATCAAAATTATAATTTTACCTACTAAGTATATAAAGCCAATCTCATTTTCTCAATTCTCTCAACCGTCACTCTTCTTCTTCATACCTTATTCCATAAGGTGAGTTTTAAACTTTTTATAAATTTCTTATCTTCATTCTTCAGTTAAGATTTTTTACTTTAAATTTAAAAGAATTTATTGTTCAAATTTAGTTTTTTATTTATTACTTTTATTGCACTGATTCTTTAGTATTTACAAGATTAGGTTTTACTATTTTTTGTGAATTATGTCTGTTCGCACCGAGATAATTAGTAAGATTAGATTATTGAATATCTTATTAATTACTCTTACTAACTTGATTCTTTTGCCAACTTTGAGAATTGAGATCATTCATTGGAATTTTCACATACAAAGAAAGTTTTGTTTTCTAAAGTTGAAATTAATCTCTCTTTTCATAAGAACAAAAATTTAGTTTCTTTTTCTTAATAGTGTGATCACGATTTCTAAAATAAAAATATGAGATTTTTAAACGTTTTCGATTCTTATTGAGTAAACCGATAACCGAACTGATAACGATCGATAACCGATTAATCGATGTCCATTAATCGATATCTTATCGGTTCGGTTATCGGTTTAGTATATTTTTAAATTAATAACTGATATGTCAAACCGATAATATTCACAATTGAACCGAATCGGCCGATACCCAACCCTAATAATAGTAGTCATTTGGGAAATTAAAAGGTCCACATGTGCCATAAAATTATCAATTTAGCTTAACCCTGCTTGTATTAGATACTAGTAAAGGATAGCTTGCGCTGTGCACAAACCCAATAATACTGTACTAAATATTGGAGTCGTGAAAATGTATTTAGTAGAGTCCGATTTATAAATGTGTTATCATCTCCAAATGATAATTAAATTACAAGAAGTACAACTAAAGCGATCTCAGCCTATTCTCAAAGTATATTTAGGAATGCCAACGTAACGATGTATTTAGAAGCTCTCACTATTCTCACCAAATAAATTAAGTTTGATTAATAAGTTGAGATCCTTTTTGTTAATTATAAAAGGCATGTAATAGCATTATTAAAGCTCTAGATAAAAGAATTATTAATTAGTTCATGAAAAATCAAACGGTAATATAAATATGAGATAAAAAAAGTTTGACAAGAGACAATATAAAATGAAATTCAAGTGGGGTAAAAAGACCATTGACTGTCATGCCACTTGGAATAACACTATAGATTTAACTTTTGATAAGAGACAATAGTAACTACAGAATCGAACAACGTGATCAAATCAAAAGAACCAAGTCACTCCAAATAGCCAAAATGCCCCTCTATCCAATCTAGAATTATGTTTCAAGAGGAATCGGTGGTGATTCTTTTGCAACTATTCATAACGTCGTCCAAGTATCATAGCAGTGAGCATAATAGTCCCTGGTTGCAAGTTGGCATGTTGAACGAGTAAGGAACAAAAATTCAAGTGGGATCACGGGTGTAATGAAAAAGGAAATATAAGCTGCAATAGCTTAACTCAAAGCAGAAGGATACAATAGTCAGCACGGAAATATATCTGTGAATTAGATACATTTAGATTCTCTTTTGGCCAATCAGATTGTTCTATTCTAGATTAATTTATCTAAATTCCCTCACATGAAATGACAGAGTTACCCTGAGGTTAAATTTTAAATTCAAGAAGCACACATGTTGACCACAAGGTGCTTGGTACTTATAGTATAGTACTAGATGGGCAACAAAAAACTTTTATCCTTTCATCTCATATTTACCCTTATTTTTTAACTCGAAATTATTTTCAGCATATCCACGTGTAATTTAGGAGCCACGTCAACGAATAATGTGGAAAGATAAATAAATAAATAAATAAATAAGACAGCCAATACTCACTCTTTTTTTTTAGCCTGGAAAAATAAAATTTATCATCATAAACAGTTTATATATAAAAGTCAGTCTTCCCGAGAAGCTTCTCATTAAAATGAAAAATTAATAACCAGAATAGGAAGGGAGAGAAGAGGATAAATTCACCACACTATGTCAGAGGCAGGGCTATTTGGTATGCTGATGCGATCTGTCACAAGATAACATCGACTATTGCGAGGTGTACTAGTAGGCTCTAAGGTTTAGATCTTTGATGTGACGACTCAATCGGTTGTTTTGAGTTCTATGACCCTATTTTCATATTTGACACTTTACATAGGCTCATTTTGGTATTTTATGACTTGCGTGTATGAGTTGTTCTGGTCCCAGGAGGTTCCGAAATAATTTGGAACACTTAGTTCCTAACTAAAGGCTTTAAGTCAAAAAAGTTGATCAAAGTCAATATTTGGATTAACGAGCTTGGATTGAGCACCCGAGAGGCTCGGGTGTGATTCAGACATGTCTTGTGAAAGTTGGAACTTAAAAAACTTAAGAAAGTTCATATTTTGGTTTGGATCTTGATTCTTAATTGTGATATTTTCATATATGTTTTGAGCCATCGGACAAGTGCGCGTAGGATATACAAATTGTAGTCAGATGTTTTGAAATGGATCTGCTACAGGGTAGTTTTGAAATGGATCTGCTACAGAAAACTACAGTCAGATGTGGATGCTAGGGTGCACGTGAGTAACCACTCGTTGTTTCGGAGATCAGTCAGATGCCAAGGGGGAGGCGACGCACCAACCCTGGCGCTAATGCCTGGGCTATACTGAAAATTCAGCTTTTCTTATATAAATTTTATTTCGGATATAGACTTTGTTTTATAATTTTAGGAGCTATATAACACAATTTTGGGAGATTTTTGAAGGAGATTTTATCTATATTATTAATGTAAAGAATTCTAACCTAAATCTATGATTATAACTTGAATCTATCATTGATTTTGACAAAAAAACTATGAATCTAAAATAGAAAAAAAAGAACTCAGAAAGTGTATTTAAGGTTTCTAACACTCTTTTAGACGCGAATTCGGAAAGTAATCACATATCTGGACTCGTGAGGTTATAGGTCAATAGGATCCGACTTTTATTCTTGGTTTTGAACATGTGGACTCGGTTTGATATTTTATTAACTTTTAAGATTTGATTAAATATTGAAGTTTTATCATTTGGAGTTGATTCCTATAACTTTATTTGATATTATTGAGTATTATTTGGCTATATTTTGGGCATTTGGATGCCGAAAATAGAGGAAGAGGGATTTTGGAAGGTTGAAGCCTACTTCGGATAAGGTAAGTATCCTAGCTAACCTAAACTTAAGGAAAATTTTCTTAAAATGGACTTATGTGCTGCGTGCAACGTGTTTGAGGGTGACGTATATACGAAGTAATGAGCGTATATACGTGTACCATAGTTTATTCATTGCCCATGGTAGTTTCTTAGGCTTTTATATGTCTTATTTGATTATATGCCTCTACGTATAGTAAATTTTATCTGTTGTAAGACTACTTGATCATCTTATATATGCTAGAATAATATTATAGGCATTTTTCACATGCTAGTTTAACAATATGAATTTCATGTACTTGCTTTACATGGTAGAACTATGTAGTCATATGTTGTTTTCCTATATGCACCATGATAGCATATAGATTTAGTTCTCATTAATCATATGAGTCTATTTGGGCATATGGATTCATGTACTTGTGGTCGAGGCATCTGTTTGTATGTGTAGATTCAAATTTCTATTTTAAGGTATTTGTTCGGGCATATGTATTTATGTGCCGACTACATAGTTGATATGGATCTGTCTCTCTAGAGTCATTGAACATTGAAATTCCTCCGGTAGTATGTGGGCAAGGTTGAGGACACATGGATTATTTGTGTCAAATTTTGGTATAGCGTTAGAGTTTTTATCATGCATAGATATTATAGACTCTTGTTGATGCATCCTTTATGAATGCTACTTGACGCATATTCATATGATATGCTGTTTTGAAGTTCTGACGCATGCTTAGATCATAATACCTGAAGGAACATGTATTATTTCTCATACTTTGACAATGCTTAGTCGAAATACTATTTATTGTGGTTCCTTCTGTTATTGCGGAACTGCCCGACCGGTCATTTTGTGTCATTGAATCCTATTTTTCTATTTTATGTTTCTTATATACTTATTTGTTGTTTTGTGACTTGACGGAATGGTTGGCTTAGTTTCAGGAAGGTTTGGGAGTGAATTAGAATACTTAGTTCACTTGTTGGAAGCTTAAATTGTAAGAGTTGACTAAGGTTTGATTTTTGTGTAAATGATCTCGAACAAGTGATTTGATGGTTGCAGTAGGTTCGTATAGTAATTTTGGACTTCGGCGTATGCTGGGATTTGGATTTGGAGGTTCTTACGATATTTTGGCTCTATTTGTCGAAAGTTAAAAATTTGAAGGTTTAAAGAGTTCATAAGTTTGATTGAGAGTTGACTTTAATGATATCATATTTGGATTGTTATTTCGGAACTTGGAATAGATTTGTTTTGTTACTTGAAACTTACGCGCAAAGTTTGAATGTAATTCGGATATGTTAGGCTTGGATCAGATTCTTGGTTTGAAGTTTAAAGTTCTTGATATGATTGATTATCACGCTAAGACCGTGACATTGGCTATGCCGGGGTTGCCAATATTGGAATGGAGGGGTTCAGTTGGTCATGCTCCTAGTAGGGTAATTTCACTTCTGAAAGCTCAACGGAAGGTTGGGAAGGATGTTTTTGGCGTACCTAGACTTTGTTAGAGATGTTAGTGTTAATACTCCTACGGTTGATTCAGTACCAAAGTAATAGAGTTTCC